AAAACCCCAAAACCCCAAAACCCCAAAACCCCAAAACCCCAAAACCCCTAGTTTTGGATACTTAATAGAATTTGCAAATCCACGTATTATCTAATAATAATTAATATTAGCAATGGAAGCAAATCCTTTTGATAGCGTTAAGAAAGATCTCGCAGTAGGAGACAAGACCTACTCTTACTATGCCCTCCCTGAACTCAACGACGACAGAATCGCCAAACTGCCATACAGTATCAGAGTTCTCTTGGAATCAGCAGTCAGAAACTGTGATGAGTTCAACGTAACCAAGGCTGACGTCGAAAAGATATTGGACTGGGAAGCCAACTCGACAAAGGCAGTAGAGATTCCATTCAAGCCAGCCAGAGTTATCCTCCAAGATTTCACTGGAGTCCCCGCAGTAGTTGACTTCGCTGCCATGAGAGACGCCATGAAGAGACTCGGAGGGGACGAGAATAAGATCAATCCTCTTTGCCCAGCCGACTTAGTCATCGATCACTCCATCCAAGTCGACGTCGCCAGGACTGAAGACGCCAAAGATAGAAACGAAGAGATCGAGTTTGAAAGAAACAAGGAAAGGTTCCAGTTCTTGAAATGGGGACAGAGCGCTTTTGAGAACTTCCTCATTGTTCCTCCAGGAAGTGGTATCGTCCATCAGGTCAACCTGGAGTATCTTGCCAGAGTTGTCTTTGAGAACAACGGAATCCTTTACCCAGATTCATTGGTCGGAACTGATTCTCACACTACCATGATCAACGGACTCGGTGTCGCTGGATGGGGAGTCGGAGGTATCGAGGCTGAAGCTGTCATGCTCGGACAAACCATCTCAATGGTCTTGCCAGAGGTTGTCGGATTCAAGCTCACTGGAGAGCTCAGCCCTCACATCACTGCTACTGACTTAGTCCTCACTGTTGTCCAGATGCTTAGAAAGAGAGGAGTTGTTGGTAAATTTGTTGAATTCTTCGGAAAGGGATGTGCTTCATTGACTCTTGCTGATAGAGCCACCATTGCCAACATGGCCCCAGAGTACGGAGCCACCATGGGATACTTCCCAATCGACGAGAAGACTATCGATTACTTGAAGCTCACTGCTAGAGATGCCCACAACATCGACAGAGTTCAAGATTATCTTGAAGCCACTGGACTATTCAGGACTTACGAAGAAGAAGCTGTGGACCCAACTTACTCTGGTGATATCTTGGAATTGGATCTCTCCACTGTTGTCCCATCTCTCTCAGGACCCAAGAGACCACATGATAGAGTCGACATGGCTTCATTGAAGCAGGACTTCACGGATGGTTTGACAGCTCCAGTGAGTTTCAAGGGATTCGGACTCAGCGAGGAAGAAGTCAAGAAAGAGCACACTTTCTCATTCAAAGGAGAAGAATTCACTTTGAAGAATGGATCACTTGTCATTGCAGCTATCACTTCATGCACCAACACCTCAAACCCAGATGTAATGCTTGCTGCAGGACTCGTTGCTAAGAAGGCAGTCGAGAAAGGCCTTACCATTAAGCCATACATTAAGACTTCACTTTCTCCAGGATCTGGAGTTGTCACTAAGTACTATGAACTCGCTGGAGTCAACGAGTATTTGGACAAACTCGGATTCACTACTGCTGGATACGGATGTATGACTTGTATTGGAAACTCAGGAGACCTCGTCCCAGAATTGCATCAAGCCGTTGAAGAGTCAGACCTTGTCGTATCTTCTGTGCTCTCAGGAAACAGAAACTTCGAAGGAAGAGTCCACCCATTGACCAGAGCCAACTACCTCGCCTCTCCACCATTGGTTGTTGCATACGCTCTCGCCGGAAGAGTGGACATTGATTGGGAAACCGAGCCAGTCGGCAAAGATACAGATGGAAATGACGTATTCCTTAGAGATATCTGGCCTTCCAGAAGCGAAGTCTCAGAGATCACAAACTCAGTTGTGAAGCCAGAAATGTTCTCTGAGATCTACGGCAAGATCTCCAAGGGAACTGACAGATGGAACGGACTCGAAGCTCCAGCAGGAAAGCTCTTCGAGTGGAGTGATGATAGTACCTATATCCACAACCCACCTTTCTTCTCAACTATGGAGTTAGACTTGCCATCCATTAATGACATCAGCAGCGCCTACTGCTTGTTGAACGTTGGAGACTCCATCACCACCGATCACATCTCTCCAGCAGGAAAGATCGCTAAGAACTCGCCAGCTGCCAGATATCTTGAAGCTAAAGGAATCGAAGCCAAGGATTTCAATACCTACGGAGCCAGAAGAGGAAACGACGAAGTTATGGCCAGAGGAACCTTCGCTAACGTCAGACTTATCAACAAGCTGGCTGTTGGACAAGGACCCCAGACCCTCCACATCCCATCTGGAGAGACTGTGCCAGTCTTTGATGCCGCCATGAAGTACAGAGATGAAGGCCATCAGTTAATTATTTTAGCAGGAAAAGAATATGGAAGCGGAAGCTCAAGAGACTGGGCTGCTAAGGGCCCATATCTCCAGGGAGTCAAGGCAGTCATCGCCCAGACTTACGAAAGAATCCACAGATCTAACTTGGTCGGAATGGGAGTTCTCCCTCTTCAGTTCAAGGAAGGAGAAGGAGCTGATGAACTCGGATTCGACGGAAAAGAGCAATTCTCAATCAGCTTGAACGGAGGAGACTTGGAAGTCAACCAAGAGCTCACTGTGACATCCTCCACTGGGAAGTCTTTCAACGTTATCGTAAGGCTCGATACCGCAGTAGAAGTTGCTTACTTCAAGAACGGAGGCATCCTTCACTACGTCTTGAGAAAGTTGCTCAAGCAATAAGCTACGTTTGCTAACGTTCAATGAGAATAAAAATTAATGGGGTTTTGGGGTTTTGGGGTTTTGGGGTTTTGGGGTTTTGGGG